CAACTGATTTAATCGAGTTTGGGATTTGTTGCGTCATAATTTCATTATGAAAATTTGATTTTCGCCCGTTTCGTACGTATTTTATTTCTCATTTATGGAAATAACAAAGACAATATCGTTTCATAAAACTTTTTGTCTTCATGTTGAGGATCTTGGGGGGTATCTAACCTATATAACATTTTATGGCATTTCTTTTTCGAGACAATTACAATAATTCGTGATTGGGTTTTATCCTCAGATGTGTTTTGATCACTCATTAACGCGTGTTAAGACGTGATTAATTAATTAATTCGTTTCCTGACATGAACACAACTGATTTAATCGAGTTTGGGATTTGTTGCGTCATAATTTCCTTATGAAAATTTGATTTTCGCCATAGATTGAGGTTAGATCATTTTTGAATGTCGAAATATTTCTTGAAGAATTCTCACCGTTTGAAAACTTGTTTGATGGACTAGGATAATTAATGAGAATTATTCATTCACGTGATACTATTAGCATTTAATAATTTTTTCACTTATTTTAAATTAATTAATTAATTCATAACAATTATCGCGGTAGATCCAGAGGTAATTGTTCCATAATTGATAACTGAATTGCGATTTAATTGCAATTTCCCCTGTCAAATCTATTTTGACTTCTGAATTGAGCTATTTGGGATTGAATGGACAGATATTTACGATTCCCAACCTGTACATGGAATATTGATTACAATTTTAATCGGAAAATGTTCATTAGTCGGCTTGCTATACATTACTTATTTAACGACGTATACTCATTTGGAAATGGATGGAATTTTATAATTCATTGCAATTATCGGGGTACATAATATGAATACTTGATGAGGTGATATTTCAGTGTTTTATTGAGGGGTATAAATTTTTCTTGTTATTCACTGAAATAATCCACAAGCAGCGATTAAATGTTGATTTAATGCACCGACCACTTTGGGAAATAGAACGAATTTGATTTGTGTAATTATATTTTATCTCGGTATGTTTATCGCTCTCCATTAGTGCGATTAAGTAATGAGTGATTTTTTTATTTGTTGCAGGTGAGTGATGTGTGCTTGTGACAGCCCTGAGAGCTGAAATTCTAGTGTTTTCTTTTTTTTTTCCTTCAAATTTCTCTGATTCTGCTCCACAGACATAAAAATCTTTGGAAAACCAGGAAATAATTGAATTATTTTTAATTGGATTAGTCCAATGATGTTTCTAATAACTCAATTTCTGCTATTCAATTCATGACTTGAGCAACTTATGTGAAACCGATTAGACCTCGACTGGATCTTAATTAAATTCTATCGAAATCCCAATTAAAATTTAATTAAATGCTGATTGAAAGACGATAACTTTTCAAGCCACAATTAAATTTATTTGAACAATTATTTATTCCATTAGAAAGTAAAAACTAGAAAACTTTGATATTGCAGACAAAAATGATTTTTCATTCCGGGTGAATTTTTAATGGATTTTTATATCTGTGAGCATAAAGTGGTGTAACGTTTCCAAAGAATTCTGTACCGGTCATAAACTGGTCTCAGTGGATGTCAGTTACTGCCTCATCGACGATAAATCGAAAACTACTCGAATCCACTGGATTTGTTCCTCGATCCAGCCTTTTCGGTGAGTTTTTCTCTCTTTATTGTCGAATATTTACATTTTTTCTCCCCCCTCTCCACTGAAAAACTATAGCATGTTTTACGAGAACAATGTGAATTCGTGAGACCGTGGGGGAGATTCAAACGTACGATATAAACGAGTCGAGTCCCATTAGTCCAACGAAAAGACCACGAGGTCTGTCCTTTTGCACCCGTAAATTCAACCAAAACTCTTTCACTCGTTGGTGCAAAATCCTAACCAGTGGCAAAAGCCCCCACAGCCTTTTATCCTTGGATTTACGATCTTCCCTCTTCACCTCCTGTTGCACCTTTATCGTGTTTTCCTCCCTGTCTACGCCCCGAAATCGTCGGGAATAGAGAATATAACACCGACCTGCCAATTACCCTGGCAAAAAGAGAATAGCTGGATATTCAGGTGTCTTTTGTTGCCTTGTGGAATTTCATTGCCTCTTCCACAGGTGTAAAAATTCTCACTGGTCATCGTTTTATTACCGTCATCCTCCCCATCTTCACATGTAACTATTTTATCATTATTACTGGTAAAATTGTTTTTATTTCACTCATCAGAAAGTTGTAATTACCCAGGACATTAAAGTTTCAGGACTTTAATAACGAGTTGGGAAAGAATTTCTATTGAAACTTTGGATACATTTTTTTTACTCAGGGTATGGAGCACTTTGATGACTATTAAAATAATTAAAAACTTGTTTCAAGGTAATGAAATTCCATTGTCGGTAATCGACAAAGTTTCGTTTAGTTCGGTTGGTGTGAGATGATTTTTATTAGTCTGCAAATTAAGTTGGAGTGTTATGTGCCTTTTAGGGATACTGCCATTATTTCTCTTATCCAATTATTATTAATTGATCTTGAACGTATGAGAAATCTTAATTCAATAGCTAGTGGATTAAAAAATTGGAAGTAGTTTCCTCTTAATGGGGAATTCTTTGGGGCTGTCAAAGGGATAAGCGAGAGAGAAATCTTTTCTATCGGTGTTTGATGTCTGCACTTGTCTGCATCGTTGGGGAATCAATAAAATCAATATTGAATTGGGTAGATGGCGAGAAGGATAAAGGTCCTTTTAGTCGGTTGAAGCTACTTGTCTACTCTCAAGTGGAAGAGTCGAGAGGGAAAAAGCCAGGCTCGTTCGACGATTATTAAGATTAGTTTCAAGTGAGGGCTTTCATGTGGCTTCTAGACTAAACACGCGAGCAGCAAACTGCAGACCACTTCACTCTCAATACTACTTTCGTCTTTTATCTTCAATTATTGAGTAATTCATGGGACTCGAGGGCCGAGAAGGGGATGGGCTATTTATTGGGACGTTTGATTCTGAATTTCTACATTTGATACTTGGTAAATCGGCTAAATTATTTTCTCTAAAAAAATTTGCAAATTGGAAAATCTGGAAAATAATAAAAATAATATATGGTAGACCAAAAAAATTCTTATGGTAAATAACTTCGTAAATTCACTTACCAATTTCTCAAAAATTCACGTTGAAATATTTTCTTGTCGGTAGTAAATTTATTCGGCGAGGTAGTAATTTGTGCTAGGGGTAATTTTTAGATTTGAAAATTACTGGCCTCGAGGAAAATGATATTTTCTTCTGTATCAATCCTTGGGTGAAATATAATATTTTTTTCTCAGTTGAATTGAAACGCCCCCGCATTATCATTCTCACTCTCTCAGGTGATTCGAGTGGGTTGAATGGCCTCCGGTGATGCTCTTTCAGGTGTTCACAGCAGGTGCACCAACACGTTCAGCACTGAATTAATATCACGGAAATAATCGTTTATTCGCATGATGGAGGAAAAATTTTTCGGCAGTTATCTTATTATGAATTTGCAATGTGAATTGCTCTGGAATTTATTTTTCCCCTTATAAGATCGTTAACCCAGTTTAGCGCGTTCATTTATCATTTGTGTGACTTTCGACAAAAATAGCATTCCTCATTTGCGAATTCCACTGGTAGATTTCTTAGTTATTACACGGTGTCTGATTACAATTTTTTTTTAATGGACACTGAAGGTCATTGAGGGAAAAAAATCGTTAAAATTCCGGCGTCCTGATGTCATTTTAATTGAAATTAATTATCAATCACTTTGACAGTTTCACGGATCTGCCAAGGGGAAATATGATTGCATTAATTATTTTTTAAATTAGCGCGGAAAGTTATAGGCATCGGTGATTCATTGAAAAATAATAGTTAGAGATTCAATAAAAAATATTCGACTTATCGTAATAACTAAATATTTTATTAAAATCCGTCTTTTTATCTAATACAAATAATCATATTCGATTATGTATAACAAAAGGATTATATTAATCATCATGATTGATACAAATAAATTCTACTCTAATTACTCATCTTACTCATTATTAAACAATCAAGTTAATTCCACGGAAAGCTATATTGTTATATAAAAATTTGGCAAAGCCAGAGACAGATTCTCGGGGAAATTTATTTCTCAATCATTAATACGATCATCCACGTGACAGTTATAGGAGGGCATTAAGTTGAAATTGCTGGTCAGGCGATATGTCAGGAAAATAATTTGAAATTCCATTGTCAAGTGCGAGGACAAAGAATGCTTCAGTAAAATTGTTGACCGGGGGTTTGGTGGTAGATGGAACGCAATAACAAATCTTGAAACGATCAGTGAATGTAACAGTTAGAAAGATTTATATGTAGAACAAGACGTCCGGGACTTGGCAGTTGCAAACTATATTTCCTGGTTTTCCTGGAGTTGTCTTATGACTCTACTACATGTTAACAAAGCTTGAATATATATACGTTAAATGCAACAGTGGCAATGTATGAAACATTAAACCGTTATAATGTATGATGGAGGATTGGTTGAGTGAACGTTTAAAAATCCATTTGGATGGTATTATTCTCTTCACTCGTGTTGTTGAATACCCCAAGTCTTGGTAAACATTGTGTCTATTGACGTAAAAAATATCCCAACAATGGAAAGGTATTCGTGTACTCATATTTCAATGTTGAGGATTTTTTTTTCGCAGGGATTGACTTTCTAGGGATATTTGTGGTAATTATTCTTCTGTAATTTGTAGATCTGTTGGGAGATGCCATGAAAGATAGATTCTAACTGACGAAATTTTTAACTCTGGCATTATTAATTATTCTTCTGTAACAATTCGTGGGGGGGGGGGGATCATTTATCGTAGATGTCGTTTGGTTATTGTTTACATTTTTATTCGCTTTTTATTGTGATTTCTATGATCATTAGGGTGAATAAAGACCGGTGTAACATTTGATATCTTAAGTGTACGCGTTTTACTTCCTTGGAGTGAAAACGATACTTTACTTGTTGGCTTTTTTTTTGTTTTATGCATACATAACTAATGATATGTATGCACATTTGACATTCTGAGTGTTTCTGTATACGATATTCATTGAATTCTTCGCTGAGAAGAAACTTCCTCGACTCCTCTCCTCTGGTATACATTATGATTATACACTTCGAATGTTTTATTCTTTTTGTCATTCCATTTGCTATTCATGCATTAGTTTTTTTATTCTTCAGTTCCTCTGGGAACTTGTTTCCAAGGTGAAATAAATTCGAATCTTTATCGTTTTACTATTCCGTCTTCTGTGTGGACTCAGTGAAATTTTCATTTCAATTTTGTTCGGGGAGATTAAACTTCAATTTTCCATGTTTATCGAATGTCGATTGCGGTTTTTTGTTTATTTTTGTATAGTTTCGGGTTTATTTATATTGGGGATTATTGGAGGTTTATTCACAACTTTTCGGCTGAAATTGACATTCGATTTTCTATTTTCGTGTGAACCCAATTGGAAAGATAATTTTCAACGTTCTCAGTAAAGTTTTGCAAAAATTAACAAAACTTTCCCAAAAATTTATAAAAAATAGACTCACGATATCGGTAATAATATCGATTTTAATATTTTATGGATTTGGAATTATTGCTTTTGGTTTGCTTTGGCGTTTTTTTTCTGTCAATTTTTGTACTTTTTGTCGAGGGGGTCTGCAAATTGGGGGATTAATGATCCAAGCATTGAGAATCACTGTTCCCCCCTTTCTCATTTCATTCTCGTCTGGCTATTCAAGGAATTTAAGGACTCCACCTGACTACCTACATACGCGAAAGATGAGTCGAGACTTGAACACGATGTGAACCCACTATTAGTCATGTCCATCTCCCTGGATTATTTTTATTTATTTTTTTTATTTCCTAATCGTCATCCCCTTTATTCCCATTATTTTTTCGTCTCCCTCTCCGGTGGAGATTCTGTCCCGTTATGGTTTCTTAACGAAGACGTTTCTTCTCCCAGAAAGTCGATGGGGGGAAAAACGAGTGGAACGAATTCAGTGATTTATGTCTCTACATCATCAAATGAATTTTTACCGGGTTCTGGACATGGTATTAAATCCATTACTCGGGGAAAAAACTAGAGATTGCGACATTAATGATAAATCATCCGATGAAGTTTTTTGAGATTTCAATTCGCTCATTGTTTTTCGGTAAATTCGCGAGGAATTTTTCCTCCAACTATTCATTGAAGTTTAATTTAGGAAATTTTCCGATTAGTACTCTTTCTATTATCAATAATTAGATAATTAATGTTCTTGTTCATCTGATTGAGAATTAATTAGGGACTAATCGAGGATATAATTTTTTTTGAGGCAAACACAGGATTTTTAGAAAAGAGTAGATTCTTTTTGATTATTAAAATTCTTGGATGGAATATAATTTCTGTTTTTTTTTTTACCACGTAATCGATTATTTAATTCCGGATGCTGTGATGGACAGAAAAATTCCTCCAATTTAAATTGCTGCACTCTAAATTCCAGATTCCTTTTCAATTTTTAATGGAATTTTTCTCTCATTCACACCAGTTCAATAATTTCATTTTATTTTCCGCATTCAAGTGGAATATCCAGTGGAATTAAATCCCATCGAATTGTTCCATCAGAAATCGCGAATTTCTCCTCAATTTACACGAAAAAATCGTAGAAT